TTTTTTTTTTTTTTTTTTTTTAAAAAAACTAAAGTCCTGACTTTAATCCCAGCAACCACATGGTGACTTACAACCATCCGTTATGAGATCTGGTGCCCTCTTCTAGTGTGCAGATATACATGGAAGCAGAATGTTGTATACATAATAAATAAATAAAATCTTAAAAAAAAAAGAAAGAGACTGTTAATGTTAATTTCTGTTCCTAAGAATGTGTCTAGGAACATAAAATATGAGTAATTATTTTAGAAAAACGAGAGAAGACTATAATGTAGTACATTATTCTTCTCAGTGGGATGATATTAAAATGGGAAACAGTTTAGAAAGGAATCTGGATCATTATGTCTCCTTTATGACCCCTTTCACTCCTGTGAGTTCTCTCTCACTTTTCCATAATAAATCTATGTTCACTCTGCAAAATGGAAGAAAACAAAAAACAAACAAGGAATTGGGGGGTTAGGAGTGTTGTTAGCAGTAGATAGAGCATTAGCCTAGCACATCCCAGGCCCTGTTTCAGTTCCTCAGAACTAGAGGAGGAGGGCATAGAATTAGATTGTTCTAGAGTAGAATAGTCTAGGAGTCAGAAGTACCTGTTTTGTCCTAAAAATACAAAGCCAAGTCAGACAGTCTCTGTCCTCTTGACTTAGTGTCTGGTGGAAACAGGGAAATAAAACAATGACTGAGGGTGACTAACTGCCATAAGGGTGTGCTAGAATACCTAGGCAAGCACTAGCAAGAAGGCATCTACACACATGGTGAGTGTTGAAGGGAGACCAAGAGTATTCTCAAGAAGGTGCTGTTTAAAATGGGTTGAAGACTGTCTAGAAGGAGTTAAGTGAAGAGAAGGACTAGCTCACTTCAGGAGGGGTGAGCCCATGTGTACGAGATGGCTTGGTACAGTCAGAACTGCAGGTCATTACAGCTGTGGAAGTTACTGTGGAAATTTTAATCAGGCTGCTTTGGCAGGTGATTTTCAGGCTCAGTTTCTGAGTAGGAGAAGAGTAGGAAGGAAGATGAGCTGTTTTAAACTAATGAGTTGATCAGGACCTAAGACTAAGGTGATAAGGATGAAAAGGCAAGGTACAGGATAGAAAGACAGAATTCCTGGGACTTAAGTGGTTGAGGAGATGAAGGACAGTGACACTTGAGTGAAGGTGGAAACAATACACTGAATGAGGCAAGTTCACTAAGAACAGAGTGGCTAGTAGATTTGAGTCAAGGGTGACGAGATAGGACCTTTTATAGAGTTCATTAGCTGATTGCTGCCTTTTCATTGGCTTTGTGAGGATATAATGGATGAAAGCTCTAGTAGTGAAAAAAAGAAAAATAGATTACTGTGTTTTCAAAATTCCATAAAGGAAAGGAAGCAGATGTTGGTAGTAGAGGGGAACATTGAGTCGAAGACTTTTACAATAGACTTGACTGCATATGCTGAAGGAAAAGGACCTTAGTGTCACCTTAAGGGCCAGATATGGTGACACACACCTTTAATCCCAGCATTCAGGAGGCCAAGCTAATCTACAGAGCGAGTTCCAGGACAGCCGGGGCTACATGGGGTCAGATGGAGAAGCCGGGGTGGGTCATCAAGAGAAAGAGCTGCTTTTATAGACTTTATTTGATATGTGTTAAGTGTTTTACTTGCATGTATGTATGTGTACCTAGAGCCCAAGGAGGCCTGAAGAGAATGATGGATCTGTAGGAACTGGTGTTACAGATCGTTGTGAGCTGCAACCTAGATGTTGGGAACTAACTCAGACCCTCTGCTAGAGTAGCCAGTGCTCTTAACCACTGAGCCATCTCTCCAGCCCTGAGAGAAGACTCTTGATAGACTGAGGAGTCACATTAGAACATGGGGGAACTGGAAGGATAGGGTATGCTTCTTAGGAGTGGAACTTGGCTGTGTTAAGAATGGTCAAGGCAATGGAAGCTTTGTGGGAGAGGAGGTAAGTGGTTCTGATATTCCTGTTACCACAGGCATGGAATTTGTCAAAAGTGCTAAGCAGTAGAGTTGTTATGTGCTATGGTGTGGCTTGTGTGTGGGAATAGGTGACAGCAGAAGCTCGAACACTGGACTAGGGTTCTGATTTCAACTACATAGGCAGAGTGGCCTTTCAGGATGGTCTGGAACAGGGAAGAAGATGTGAACCTGTCTTTCTATCTCGTTCTCCTGGCAGCCATCTTTTTGGGCTCCTTCCGAATGCCCTATCAAGAGATTAAGAGTGTTATCCTGGAGGTGAATGAGGCTGTTCTCACGGAATCTATGATCCAGGTAAGCAACAAGGAGGCTCTGCACAGCTGCACAGCAGCCTCACCGCCTCACTCGGTGAGCAGGAGCTCCTTCCCCAGTTTTGACTCAAAATGCTGGCTGAAGAAGCTGCTGTGGGCAGGGTACCTCAGCAGACTCAGGAATCCCCCATCTCACAAGCTGCCCCGCCCTCATGCTTCCTTCGTTATCACTGGTCAGAGTGTGGAATTTAGAGTCACAGTCGTGATACTCAGACTTACAGCTCACCCCACATTTACTCTCTTTTCCAGAACCTCATTAAACAGATGCCAGAACCAGAGCAATTAAAAATGCTTTCTGAACTGAAGGACGAGTATGATGATCTGGCTGAGTCAGAGCAGTTTGGCGTGGTGGTGAGTGAGGCCTGTAGCAGTTGGCTGTTTTCCAACTCCCTTATACCCTTCCCTCTGGAGACCAGCCTGGTCACTTGCTCCTTGCCTCTGATCTGTTTTGAACCTTTTAAGTTAATCAATTTCTCTGTCTCCCCCACCCCCCACTCCTTTGCTCTGAAGCTCCAGTCTCACAGAGGAGGCTCGGCCTGTATCTTTTGACGTCTCTCTCCATTAGCTCCATAATGGAACTTGTTGCCTTCCTCACTAGATGGGCACAGTGCCCCGCCTTCGGCCTCGCCTCAATGCCATTCTCTTCAAGCTACAATTCAGTGAGCAAGTTGAGAATATCAAGCCAGAGATTGTGTCTGTCACTGCTGCGTGTGAGGAGCTGCGTAAGAGCGAGAGCTTCTCCAGCCTCCTGGAGATCACACTGCTTGTTGGAAACTACATGAATGCTGGCTCCAGGAATGCTGGTGCTTTTGGCTTTAATATCAGCTTCCTCTGTAAGGTGAACCATGGAATTAGACAGGAGGACAGAGGGAAGGCTACCTTGAGCCCAGTATTGGCTTAAGATCATTTGGGACAAGTCAGGACTAACAGTTTCTCCTCTCACCCCAAGCTCCGAGACACCAAGTCTGCAGATCAGAAGATGACTTTGTTGCATTTTCTGGCTGAGTTATGTGAGAATGACTA